ATTTTCATATAAAAAAGAACATTCAATATATGATCCTTGAATTTTCAGACTGAATAAAAATCAGGATAACAATAAATGAGAGCAAGTTTTACGAACCAACTAACTGTTGAACAGTTTTCCTTATTGTTAATAATAGAACAGAAAACACTTTTAACATTTTTAATAAATTAGTTTTTATGTTAGTTATCGGCCAGGTGTCGAGTTCTAATTTGTAAATACAGGGTGTCCGCAAATTTCACCGCCAATGTATATTATTTGCAGGTCTGTAGGTTTTGGTTTGTGTAGTAGTAACACGGATTTAAAACTTCAGTTCAGTAGGCGATGAAAACAAGATGTTGATTGCTGTGGCTATCAGGTAATGTCATTATTGTCGTGTTTTTTTAGGATTCTCATCACTTCACACATGCAAATTATGAAGTGTCCGCGCGTATCAAGACAATTAAATGTACCTATGTAAAACTAATGTTCATAAAACTTTAAAAAAGCAACTTCTTTCATTTCATGTAACTTCTGCTCAAGAACTTGAAAATTTAGATCTCAACGCACGTTTATAATTTTGCCACTGGTTGGTGAATGGCTTCGCAGAATATAAAAATTTGCTTCAAAAATAGTTTTGTACCGACAATTCTTGTTTTACGGAGGAACGGAGTTGTAAATTTTCATAATTTGCATGTGTGGAGTGATGAGAATCCTAAATAAACACGACAATAATAATATTACCTGATGATACACAGCAACCAACATCTTGTTTTCATCGCCTACTGAACTCAAAAGTTTTAAATCCGTGACACTGTCAGGTAAACCGAAACATACAGACCTGCAAATAGTACCATTTTTCTCAAGAATGGCTTTCTGTAGGCGATTTTCTCAAGAGACAATATTTTTAAATAAAACGACCTTTTCACTGTTGCTGCCCGTTTTAAAAAAATACTACTATTGTAAAAGTTTTGACGCTAAAAGGGAGAGGTAACCGAAAAAACTATCACCCAGTACATCGATTTGACTAAAGTTTTAAGAAATAATACGCCATAATAGTCCAAATAAATGTGCCAAATTTTAAAGCGATGGGTAATGAAGTTGTTAATTAAATAAGTTTTATTTTTGACAATTTTGAAGGCTTGTAACTCAAAAACCAAAAATTTTTTTAACTTTTTTTCGCAGATTGTATTTATTTATCGTCGTGAATACAGTCAACAGTTGTCGGTGAAATTTGCGCACACCCTGTATAATCATTTCTGCTTTATTTCCTTTTTTGATAAGGAACAAGTTGTTTGTCGTAATGTTTACAATTATTTCAAATAAGGAAGTATCTGGGTATGGAAAATTAAATTAATGTTTGTACCTCATTTGTCCTAGCCATAAACAGGAGTTTTTCAATTAAGTCAATAACATACGCATGACTGTAAAAAAAGCAAAAATGTAATTTATATTTTCCCGGAGGTCATATTTCCTTGCAAATGTGTACAAATATAAACAATTCTAATGCAGCCAAAATGGACAAAAATCACATGAAAGGAAAACAATAAGATAAAATGGCAAATTAGATTATTTAAAATTTTCTATGAAATATATTAGGTACGTTAATTTGAATATTATAATTACAGATTTAACGACGAATGTATGAATAGTTTAGAGGTTAAGGACATCGAGTGTTCAAGCATTTATTGAATCAATCACTACACATGCTTGTTCAAATAAAATCCAATTCCGTTTAGCGTAAATTATTAAGACCAGTTGGCGCCTTGAACTTTGTAAAGAATAAAATTCGAAATAAAATAAAAGTATGATAATATACAGGTGTCACACCACGAACTCCATCGATGGATATCTGGGAAACCGCTGAAATTTTGATGGTGTAATACGGACCGTGGGGCCTACCAAGCTAAAATATTTTCAAGGTCATCGTACTTCGAAGTCGATACTAACTTTCTTATTTTAAATGGAATCCCCTGTGTATTATTGCATTTTTGGAAAGAGCATTTTTAAGTTGAAAACATATAGCATACTCCATACTTAGGATTGACCGTTTCCGAGATATTTTGATTTTTAAGCAAAATTGACAGATGTAGACTGTCAGCAAAATTTAGTTTTCTTGGAAACATAGGTTTATTTTTTGTGCAAATTGGACATTTTGTAGAGGAAGATCTAATTTATCGAATTTGACATGAAAATTTTCCAGTTGTTATACAGGGTGGTAACAATTTTGATATTTTCGGATTCGTTTTTCAATTTTCTACAAGTTACTACTCTCTTATATTTATCTAAAATAGCCACATTTTCGAGTAAAACTTAAAAAACTAATTTAAATTATTTAGTTTAGCACCCTGAATCTTTTTAACGAAGCGTGCTAGATAAAAACTTTATTCGCGAATGCAGCTAAGAGCTCGCCCTCTGGTGCTGACAAGTGATACTAGCGAAACAAGGTAGGTAAATATTTCTTGTGTGTGAGACATTTTGTTTTGTATTATATTTAAAACTGTGTTTAGGGTTTGTTTTTTGAACACTGTTATTTTAAGAAAATAGTGTGAGGAAAACTTCAACAGTTATGGATAAAAAGAAGAAACTGTCGAACTATTTATTGTTCGTTCTTGGTTACTCTTCATGGGTCAAGAAAAACCCAGAATTAAAATTTCATCAAACCACTGAAGAAATTTTCAAAATATTATTGTCGATAGACAATACCCCCTGAATTTCATGAGGGTTCTTAGTAAAGGCACTATTTTGCAGACACAATGAGTAAATTTTTAAATTTAAATCATTTTGCCCAATTTTCCCACATAGTACTACATGACATTAAAAACTGCTTCTCCTTCTGATACTTATATGTATAACGAGAGTTTTCGTTGGCACTTAAATAGGAAATGTATTCCACAACGGATAACTTCATAGTTATAACCTAAAAAAATGTACATTAAATTGTAATGCTAGAAACAAACAAGGTAGACATAAATGCTTGCGTTAAAATTTATTTATGAAATATTTGAAACCTATAAAATAACACAAAAGTCAAATAACCGCAGTTTAATAACAAAATTACTAATAATAATGGCAAATAAAACAAATGTCGTTCAAATGAATGTGTAAACACGAACGCCAAGGTTAAAATTACCTTGTCTCAGAGCTTACCGCTTTCGCCGCTTGGTGCGCTTGCATCTTAAAAATTATCGCAAATACGAAAAACCCCTTAAAATTCACCAAACAATATGACGTTTCATTTCTGGTCACCGTTTGTGAATCACTCTGTATTTTTCTCTGTCATAGTAGATCACGTTTGCCAGATTTACCTTACAATTTACTAAAATATCTTGGTAATTATATTATGAGCACTACTAACATTAATAGTATACTATTCTATTTTATTAAAAATAGCTTAGTCTTAGTAGTGGTATTTAGTGAAAGATTATGAGCTCGGCTTATAGTTATTACTTTTTTGATTTTATGAATACATTCAACATTTCTAAAATAAAATTAACATTATACCTTTGTTAAATCGAAGTAATGTTACACTTACCATTATAATCATCCAAATTTTCATATCAAAGGATATACAGGTTATGTAATATTGCACGGGAATAAATTATTTATGCTACCCTAGCTGGAGCAACAAGAATTGTTGATTAAATTGGTTTCAAGTTTCGTAACGTGAAGGTTTTCGACTTCCGTTACAATTCTTGACATTTGTCAACCTTGATCTGCAGTTTTATATCAATTTCTGTTTTAGTGCATATCAACTTTTGAAGTTTTCAAGGTTACTTGACATCATTTCAAACCCTTGACAAATTTCAATCAATTTGTTTTTTACAGCATAGTAAATCTCCATTTTTATTGAAATGTCTGTCTAAATGTCATTTTTTCTTATAATTTCAACCTTGATATGAAGTCAATGTTCATACAGCATAGGGCTGATTATCTGAAATTTGTTAATATTTAAATTTATTAAAATTAAGCCAATAAGAATCAAAACTGATAAAAATTATTTTTATTTTTTTTTATTCGACATTGGTACCACTAATATATTAAGTAAATAATAATTAGCTTCAGCATAATATTGATTTGTTACAATTCCAAGTTTACTCTTTTAATTATTATAATACTTAGCACGTCAACATTATTTACCATGCAAGGACTAAACGACTAAACATCACGTAATAAGGTTAGCGGGTCTACGTTAGAGAAAAAAAAAATTAAATTACATTGTTCTGTATAAAATGTTCGGTATACCAGTTGGGAGGGGTTATTACTGAATTTCTATAATCAAAAATTTTCTATAATCGAAATTTTTTGTGATGAAAAATATAAATTTATTTTATAAATGACGCAACAAATTAAAAAATATATTACATCCCTTGTGCACATCCTATTTAATTGTTTAATCGCGTGTGTGTAGTTAATTTTGTATCCATTTGCTGTACATAGGCCAATTAACAGTTCAAAATTGTGAACCATCAAATTGCCAACAATTTTCCTTGAAAAATGTCCAGTTTTACGCGATCTATTTATACGCAACATATCTGTCTTTCCTCCACGTTAATCTTAAGTACGGTAACGTGAATTTCATGGCCATATAAAATAGTTTGTATCAAATTTCATAATTTCACATAGTATTTGATATTATATGAAAATCGTGCTGTTAGTGTTTCTTAGTGATTGTATTTCCCTGCATTCAGAGGTATAAATTAATATCTGTGCCGTAACAAACTTCATAAATTTTAATTTTGTGGGTTCATTAGTGATCCACACCGACAAATTTGGAAAGAATCACCGGTATTGGAACTACTGGAAGCATTAATACAATTATAGGTACTTACTGTTAGAATGATTTGTATTGCGCTACTGTAGTATAAGAAATTTGTTCTTATATCAATGATTTATATATTTCTGTTAGAAACTGAGGGTTTTTAAAAAGAAAACAGAAAATTTTATAGAAACATTACTTGCAATATAAACCTCGGAAACTGAGAATCAAAAATTAAGGATGCATAGAACAAATTGTAAATTACCTGCAAGTTTATAGTTTACACTTTTACCAATCAATAGTGACTAAATTAATTGCCAAGGAACGTTCTGTCCTCACTTGATTAGTAACAATTACTGCAATTAATTCACAATTAATTTTTTAACTTATTCCTACTCGTCAGAGTACAAAAAATGAGTTCTAACTTATTAATTAATACGAATTATTTTGACCTATGCCTATGCAGTAAATAATAATAGTCCACATGTACAGTCATTTCAACTGGCTAAATAAAAAGGAAAGAACTAGTCATAAAATTCTAACTGCAGGATAATTTATTAAAACTCGGCGATATTTAAAGCTGCTATAAAGAACCAATAATTGTAAAATTTTACTCTCAAGGAACTTCTGTCTCGTTCAGTGTATTCTTTTGATTTTAAATTCCCAATGTTACGTCTCTAAACAGCAGTCAGCTGAAGATTGTGAAAGATTATATTGATTGTGTCCTTGACTCGCTTTTTGTAGTTAATTTAGTTCAATTACTCGGCTAAGAAATAAGAACTTATTAAAAGCGATGCAAAAATGTAACAATGGCACTTTTACTCCTGAAGAATATTGTAACAAAAATTACACAGGGTACCTACTGAGAGAGCTTTGCTGTTCAAAGACTTTGTAACACAAGATCTATGTCATCATTCTGTGGAGGTACAGCAAAGCAACATAATGTTACATTTTTGGAAGTTCTAAAACTAGTAAAAATAAATCTCCTGCCTAAGCAAGAAATTTGCTTTCGCGAACTTGTAAAATATTTTAAAGTTCAGGTGCATAATTTTGCTTTTTTATTCGATTCAATATGATTTGTAAGTTTAGAAAAGAGTACCTATATTATTTCAGTGTTTTTTTCATGCGAAGAAAATTTATTATACTGTATTTTCTTAAATATTTGTTTATAAAAATTATTTTCAGTTCCTAAATTATGTAATATATCAGCCAATTGCGACTGAAATAATAGGTGTACAAAGATTTGATGTTTAAATTGTTTCGCTTGAGGAAATTTGTGGTCAATTGTAGTGATTGCATTATCAGTCATCCGTGCTAGTTTTTTTATCACTAAAAAAAACAACGTGAAAAAAAGGTTAGAAAATACAGAAAAATACTTTAATGTATTAAAAGTGCTTGAAGATACAGGTATAGGAATATAGGCTATTTATTCTTATCATAATTTTCAATGTTTTCTGTATCACATTAAATTTTTTCTATTCATTCCTCGGCTGTTTTGTCTTCGACTGAATTGAATATACGTACTTACAGGGCGTCCCAAAAATATGTGCCAAAATTTTAACCACATATTTAATGCATCAAAAGCAAAACTTTTTCTTAATATATGTTGTAATAGTTTATTGTGTTAGTTCACGTAATTATAAATAATAAAAATTAAATCAATAAATTACACAGGCCAACAAGGAAAAAGTTCCAGAGATCAGACACTACGTTTCCGAAGGCATTTGGCGCGCTGAATCCGAATCTGGCCTCAGAATTGATCCATCACCCTAGGTTTCCGAGATATTCTAACCTAAAAGTGCAAAAAACACGTATTTTTGCTATTTTCAAGGTTATGTAACTTGGCGAAAAAAAATTTTTTCTCAAAATTGAAAATATCATTGGAAACTACTATCTTTCCCCTTCAAAACGCATTTTTTTATTTGTAAAAAGCTTTATTTTTCGCGGAGATATCGTCGATTAAAGATGATTAGTATAGCTACCTTATTAAACCATGGCTCGACCTATAACACAATATCACTAAGCGCTACGAGCCTTAGATGTCAGGAAGGTTAACCCCAAGCCCTGTAACTGAATAACACTAAGCGCTACAAGCCCTAACCACCAGGAAGGTTAATCCCAATAACCCAAATAACCCAATAACCCAATTGGTTCATTGAATATAGTAAATGATTGCTTTAAAATATAATAAGTGTATCATGACATTACTCAATATATTACAATATTTAGGATAACTAGTAACATTTCATGGACGATTAGGGCTCACAGCGCTTAGTGTTGTGGGGTTATAGGGCTTGGGATTAACCTTCCAGACATATAGGGCTTGGGGTTAACCTTCCTGACGATTAGGGCTCGCAGCGCTTAGTGTTATTGGGTTGTAGGGCTTGAAGTTAACCTTCCTGACGATGAGGGCTCGCTCCGCTTAGTGTTGTGGGGTTATAGGGCTTGGGATTAACGTTCCTAACAATTAGGGCTAGCAGCGCTCAGTGTTATGGGGTTAGCCGTGATGTAATAATATAGCCATACTGGTCATCTTAAATTGACGGTATCTCCGCGAAAAATAGAGCTTTTTCCAAATAAAAAAATGCGTTTTGAAGGGGAAAAATAGTCGTTTCCAATGATGTTTTCAGTTTTGAGAAAAAAAATTTTTTCGCCAAGTTACATAACCTTGAATATAGCAAAAGTACGTGTTTTTTGCACTTTTAGGTTAGAATATCTCGGAAACCTAGGGTGATGGATCAATTCTGAAGCCAGATTCGGATTCAGCGCGCCAAATGCCTTCGGAAACGTAGTGTCTGATCTCTGGATTTTTTTTTTGAAATTTTGTCGGCCTGTGTTATTAATCAATTTCGCAACTTTTTGTTTATTATCGTCTACTCGTTTCGAATTATGTTTCAATGGCGGATAATAAAAATTGAAAAAATTGTATCATATATTTCGAGAAAAATTGTTAGACAAAAGTTATTGCTTTTGATGATTGAGGTTATAATGTTGGCACCTATTTTTGGGACATCCTGTATAAATAACACACTTCTACTACAAGCTACTAATATTCATGATTTTGCTAGTGACGATAAGCAAATTACCAGTAGGTAGTAATCCCGAACAAGGTTAACGATTATCAAGTATGTAGTAAATTTTATTGAAAGGTATTCTACTTTACTTCAAACGTAATTAGATAGTAATCAAAGTCTATGGTCAAGAACAGTGGTATATACATATAGTGATGAGTAATAACACTGCAATAGTAGTTTTGTTGAATTTTATAGAAGACAATTGTTTGAGTCATACGTAACGTACCTATCTCAGCATATTGTAAATTACAGGGCTCTCTTTCAAAATTAATAAATTAGAAGTAAATAGATTTATTTCCATTTTTAATATCAAAGGCAGAATATATTTTTTTCAAATGAACGTAAACACAAACAATATAAAACTTTATTAAAAAACCGTAATTAGATTTATACAGTACGAATTTTCGGCTATATTAGAATATTCTGATGCCAGTTTATCAATTCTATTTTATCCATTTATACAGTGTGTCCAAATATTTCATGTACAAGGAACTTCTCCAAATTCTTAATCTCAATACAAGTCGATTTAACAAAACTCATCTCTGTCTAAAGTTATCTTCTAAGATTTCCCTTATTCTGTAAATTTTTACTATGAAATTTGAAGATCAGTGGTTATTTTCATTTGAGAAGAATTCATTTATATACATCAATTTTATATATATCAAGTAACGACATACTGGATAGATAGTGACGAAATAGTAATGACAATTTAGGTGACAGTTAGATGAAAAGTGACAGTTCATAATAAAATGTAAATTTTGATTAAATCTCAGTCTAAATTAATAAAAAATGTCCATAAAATAATGGAATTTAGTTAAAGAAAAATAAAATGGTATTGAAAATGTTAAATTTGAAATGTATAAATTAAGTAATAATCTGATTGGTTGAAATTGAAAAGGATAGATTAAGAAGAATTGTAATTAGAAATAAGATAGTGATTTAAAAAAATTGGTAGGAGGTAGGAGACGGAGGAAAAAAAATAATTCTAAGGATCAATATGTAAGAAGAAATATAAAATAATTATAAGGATCAATATGTAAGAAGAGATATTTATATTAGATATAAAAGTCAGTACCAAAAAAAGAAGATTAAATAAGAAGAAGCGAAATAAATTTAAGAAGACTAAAAAAGAAACAATACAAGCTATCAGTCGAAATGAATTGTTGAGGAGAAGAGGAATTCAATTAAAAATTAAACAAGATCAAAATTATTCAGTTCTTTCAGGAAACGATAAAGAATGAAGAGGAGAACGCTGAGAATTAAAAATTGGGAAAAAAATTTGTTTGGAAGAAAGAAAAATAAGGATGAAGTCAAAATTTGACACATAACTAAATATAATAGTAAAATAGGTTAGTAAAATACCATTTGAATTGTCGTAGCCGTTAAGAAAGGAATGAAGCCATAGGAGCCTAAAAGTGATTCAGGCAGTTGCAGCCATCAGTGTGTACAGGAGACAGAAGGAGGAACAAGTCAACAGAGGAGAGATTAAGTGGACAAAAGGAAGGAGGATAGACAGGAGATAGATTGCAGAAAGGAGATTACTATTGAAGAGACCATGGACAGAGAAGGACAATGAAAGTGTAGATCTAGGTAATAAGAAACTATAAATTGGTAGAATAAGATATTAGAAATAAGTTATCGCAGGTTAGATAGGGAATTAGTGAGAATTTATAAATGTATAATCTATTGTTTCAATATAAAAATTTCAATCCAGATTATAACAATACTATTTTATTTTTTAAACAAAATTAATGAAATATTAAAGCATTTTTTTTTAATAATTAATCTCATCATGTTCTATTAAAATTTGCATTTACTAATTTTCAGAAAATAAAATTATTAATCTAATTATTATTATTAAAATTATTAAATTTAAAATAGAATTCAATTCGAGATCAAAAATAATCTTTTAAAATTACCAATATTTTTTTTGAAATTCAAAATCACTCAGTGACAGAAGCTAGTATGGTAAGTAAAGAATATAGTTTATTGCAATATTTTTAAAGATACTACAAGAACATTCAAAATTTAAATATTTTAAGTAACATTTCACATGACAAACAATTTTTTATAATACTATAAATGGCGCTCAACATTACACATTAAATAGAACCACAAAAAATAAAATAAATCAATTTTATAGTATTATAATATATTCTATGTGAATCTACTGATCATAATTTTCAGAAGGAAATAAACGTGATGAATGTTTTATT